AACGATCATTTAAACAAACTAAGAATTTTGGAATGAGATGGTAGGAGTGAATAGGGTAGGGAACCTGAATACTTTCTTTAGTCTGAATCGAGGAGGAGAGTGTGTGTGTGTGGTTGAAGTTCAGCGGACATGGTAAACCTGTATATAGATAGAGTTTGAAACCTAATCCAAATGTGGATAAGCATTCGTGTGAGTATAAGCCACTTAGCAAACGTACATGTTATAGTCATTTTGTGATTTGTGTGTGTGCTATCCATGCGATGGGGAGGTCTATTTCGCCTTTTCTCGATGATGACATAAACGATATTGCGCGATGAAACCATAAAAATGACCGTTCGAGTGTATCTGTGATCTTTTGTGTGTGTATGATTATGTTTCAAGATTATGAACAATATTCGAGTATATCTTAATCTATTGTATATGTGATTATATTTCGAAATGACGATTGATATTCGAGTGCATTTTTGACTTTCGAGAGTATAAGAATGTATATTTGAGGTTTGTATATAATATTCGAGAGAATTCATCAGATCGATCAGAAACATATGAAATAATGAAAATAAGAATATGAATTTGCACTAAAATATTTTTATTTCTTTTGTTTGTTATCGTGTATTTTGCATGAAATTTTGTCTGAGTTGAGAGAACGAGAATACTTATTGAGTTGGAAAAGCTCATTAAATTTCATCCTGATATTTTTCAGAGGAGAATGAAGAGTCAGCACTGCTGCTAGACGAGTAGAACCTGTAAAAGGGTTCTTGTTTTTGTATATTTTATACATATTCAAAAAGTTTTATTTTGTTCTATTAGACTTTAAATTCTGAGATCATGTTTTGTATATATAGTTACTGTACATATCACATGGGATGGTATGTTGTATTATATTTTTGATCTACGCATATATATATTTTATGGACTCACTACATGAAAATGACATGAGCAAGAATTGCGCCTAATATCGAGTATCGGGGCGTGACAAGTGGTATCAAAGCCCACATTCCTAGAAACATCTTTTGTGCATGAGATTTTAGAATTTAAATATGATATTTTGCAACTATTTGGGTGTTGAGAAGTAGGAATGTTATTTTAAAATATTTTAATTCATTCTTTTCTGAATGAAAGGATGTAAGATGAGACGTGGACGAACTCCACCAGAGCAACCTCCAGATTACATGTCTTTATAGAAGCATATTGACTGGTTATACCACATGGTAGAGGAGCTTGTTAACCAGCCTAGAAAAGGGATACCTGGCCCTCCTCCAGTACCGGCTTCATACAATCCAGAACCAGTCGTTAGAGATCCAGACTGTCACAGAAAGTTCATGAGACTCCATCCTTCTACATTTGTTGGTACCAAGAATTTTATTAAAGTTGAAGGATGGTTGAAAGAAATTGAAAAGGTATTCCGAGTTTTGGGAATTACTTCCGAACAGAAAGTGATCCTAGCTACGTACTTGCCTGTGGGTGAAGTTGATCGTTGGTGGGAATTCAGAGAGGCTACCTTACTTGTTCCCATCATCTGGGAGAGATTTTTGGGGGCGTTCAACGTCGAGTACTTTCCAGCACGGCTCCAACACCAGAAAGAGTTAGAATTCATGCAGTTCACTCAGGGAACCTATCAGTGGTTGAATATACTCGAAGATTCATTGAATTGACCCATTTTGCTCCAGCCATTTTGACTGATGAAGGACAGAGGACGAGAAAATTTCAGTGGGGGCTACGCCCAGCGATCCAGGATGCTCCTGCAGTTCTAGAGTTGAAGACCTATGATGAGGTTTTTGCGAAAGTAGAAATAGTAGAAAGTAGATTGAAGGATTTATTCTTCGGAGTATGCAGTTCTAGATCCCCGGTACCTCTGAGAAGACAGATTTCAAGGTATAGTTCACAAGATAAGAGGCCTGGAATGGTAACAGATATATCTCCTAGACCACCATCAACTTCTGGTAGGGCATTGACCTGCCGTACTTGTGGAAAGAATCACGGTAATCAGTCGTGCCCTTGTGTCACTCGATCATGTTTTAAGTGTGGTAGCCAACAACATTTGATCCGTAACTGCCCACTTATGAAGGAACAAGTAGAAGCTCAAAGACGGGGATGAGTGTACACACTTACTGCAGCAGATGCTGAAGTAAACCCAGATGTGGTTCAAGGTATGTATTCTGTCTCAAAGAACCTAGCTAAAGTATTAGTAGATCCTGGTTCCACACATTCATTCGTGTCACACACTTTTACACAATGATTGGGTGTTACACATATTTATTTGGAGCATATCTTGATGATATCCACACCAAGCACGAATGTATTATTTTCTGATGTTATCTATAAAAATGGTATAATAGAGATAGTTGGTAGGGAATTAAAAATAGATTTGATACTTTTAGATGTGGGAGATTTTGATGTAATATTAGAAATTGACTGACTAGCGGCTCATTACGCAGCTTTAGATTGTTGTAACAAGAATGTTGTATTTAATATTCCTAATGAAGAAATTTTTACTTTGTAATTGAATGGTGTTATTTACCACATTGTATGGTCATTTAAGTTATATAATTTATTGAGGCTAACATATAAAGGTTGACATGGTAGGTGATAAAGATAAGAAGATTAATTTTTATAATGTGTTGGTGGTCCGTGAGTATCCAGATGTATTCCTTGACAACTTCCAGGGTTACCTTCGGACCGTGAAATAGAATTTTTTATTGATCTACAACCAGACACCCACCTAATTTCCATTGCTCCTTATAGACTGGTGAAAGTTGAAAAGAAAGAATTAAAGAAGCGATTAACAGAATTCTGAGAGAAAGGATTCATTCTCATTAGGGTGCTCTTATAACATTTACCAATAAGAAAGATAGAACCAAGCGAATATTTATTGGTTATAGACAATTAAACTGGGTTACCATCAAGAATAATTATTATTTGCCCATAATTAATGACCTATTTGACCAATTGCAACGGGTGCAGATCTTTTGCAAGATTGATTTATGATCCAGTTACCATTAAGTGAAGATTAAACCCGAGAATATTTCAAAGACCGCCTTTAGAACCAGGTATGACCATTACAAATTCTTGGTCTTACCTTTTGGATTGATAAATACCTTGGTGGTATTTATGGACATGATGAATTGGATGTTTGAGTCTTGGTTAGATCAATTTGTTATTATATTCATTGAAGATATATTGATTTACTTAGAGTCGAGAAGAACATGTTGAACACTTAAGACAAGTTCTAGAAGCTATTAAAAAAGAAAAGTTGTATGCAAAATGGAATAAGTGTGCATTCTGGCTCGAACAGATCACTTTTTGGGTCATGTAGTTTCTAAAGACGGAGTCTGTAGATCTAGCAAAAGTTGAGCCTATCATGGGATTGGAACATCCCACTATGGTGAAGGATGTCCGAAAATTTTTGGGTATGGCTGGGTACTACCGCCAATTTGTGAAAGGATTCTCTAAGATTGCAATCCCCTCTTACCCGACTTAATAGGAAGGATGTTAAGTTTGAATGGACCCCAAAATGTGAAAATAGCTTCAGAGAACTCAAAAACTGACTCATGACGACTCCAATACTAACACTACCTAGTGGATCAGGGGATTATACAATATATACTGATGCATCAGGCCAGGGTTTAGAGTATGTGTTAATGCAAAATAGCAGAGTCATCGCCTACAGGTCGATACAATTGAAGAGTCACGAATGAAATTACTCGACTTATGACTTGGAATTACTGCAATTGTTTATACTCTTAAGATCTGGCGTCATTATCTGTATGAAGAGATATTTGAGATCTATACTAATCACAAGAGTTTTAAATATCTCTTCATGTAGAGAGAACTGAACATGCATCAGTGTAGATAGATGGATCTTCTTAAAGACTATGATTACAAGATATCCTACCATCCAAGGAAAGGAAATGTGGTGGCTGATACACAGAGTCGCAGTACCTCCGGCATGATTGCAAGATTAGTAACTTATGAGTGTAAGACTCTAGAGACCTTTCAAAAATTATAATAAGGTATTGACAAACAAGGAATGTATATAGCCAGCTTGAGAATCGAGCCAGTATTAATTCAAAAAATTAAAGATGCTCAAGAAACTGACATTGATATAAAGACCTTGAAGAAAGAAACTGAACAAAGTTTAAGGTTTGACTTCAGAATTCATGATGATGGTTTGTTTTGATTCAAAGGAAGATTGTGCGTTCCTGATGACCCTAACTTGAAGAGACTCATGTTAGAAGAAGCACATAATTCTAGGTTTACTATACACCCAGACATTACCAAAATGTATCAGAGTTTACGACCTCGATATTGGTAGATTGGGATGAAGAAAGATATCTTCGAATTTATTAGTGAATGTCTCACATGTTAAAGGATTAAAGCCGAACACCAAAAACCAAGGGGATTACTCTAATCTTTACCAATTTCAGAGTGGAAGTTAGAACACATCACTATGAACTTTGTGATGGATTTGCCTCAGACTAGATTGAACCATAATACTATTTGGGTGATAGTGGACCGATTAACGAAGTCAGCCCATTTCCTACCAATAAAAACTACAGATTCTCTAGATAAACTTGCTAGATTATATATTAAAGAAGTTATTAGAATTCATGGAATCCCAGTATCAGTAGTTACAGATCGAGATACTCGTTTTACTTCTAGGTTTTATACAAGCCTACAACAGGTCTTAGGCACCACCTTATCATTCAGCATAACATTTCACCCACAAATGGATGACCAAATGGAGAGAACCATCTAGACATTAGAAGATATGCTTAGGGCTTGTGCACTAGAGATGAGAGAAAATTGGGACGACCATCTACCATTGATTGAATTCGCCTATAACAATAACTATCAGTCCAATATTAGTACAGCTCCATATGAAGTAATTTATGGCAAACTCTGTAGATCTCCTGTGTGTTGGAAAGAAATTGGGGATAGAAAATTAATTAAACCCATATTAATTGAAGAAACTACCTCCAAGATTGTTCTAATTAAAAATAACCTTAAAAACACCCAAAGTAGACAGAAAAGTTATGCAGATAATCATAGAAGGAGTTTGAAATTTGAAATAGGGGATCATGTATTCTTAAAAGTGTCACCAATGAAGGGTCTTATGAGATTTGGAAAGAAAGACAAATTGAGCACTTGCTTCATTAGACCATTTGAAATATTGGAGAGAATTGGATCTGCTGCTTACCAATTAGCATTGCCCCAGAGTTGGCTAACGTTCATGATGTATTTCATGTGTTCATGTTACGTAAATACCAGTCTAATCCATCATATAAATTCAATATGAGGAGATTCATATTGAAGAAGATGTCATATAAGAAAATGTCCATAGAAATATTGGACAAACATGAAAGGGTATTGAGGAATAAGACTATTCTGATGGTCAAGGTACCCTGACGACATCATTCGCCAGCTGAATCTACTTAGGAGATTAAAGATTCGAACGAGCTCGATTTTCACACCTATTGTAGAGACATATCAAATTTGGAGGACCAAATTTTTATAAGGAGGGAAGAATTGTAATATCTACCTAAAAGAAAAGAAATGTAAATAAAATTTAGAGTTGGGTGTAAATAAAAGAAATTTTTTAAAATTAGGGGCTTTTAATTAATTCAAGGACTTTAATAAAAGTAGGTAAGAAAAAAGAGGGTAAAAACATAAATAAGTAGAAGTAGAAGGGGCAGAGGAAATCAAAAAAATAGACGACCCAAATAGGATCACTTGAGGAGATCAGATGACTGAGATTTAAAAAGGGAACAGACGATCTAGATCGAGTCATGAAAATCGAACGATTGAGGGAACAGGTATAAAAGGGGAAGAGATCAGGGTTTCCTTCATTTGGGAGAGAAGCTGAAAAAGAGAAAGGCAGAAAGAGAGAGAGCGGCGATCAGGGAGAGTGAGAAGAAGACAGTCGCAATGGGAAGCCGAGAGAGAGAAAAGAGAGAAAAAAGAAGAGAGAGGCCGGAAAAGAAAAAGAAAGGAGAGAAAAGGGAAGAGAAAGTGGATGGTCGAACAGGAAGAAGAGAAGCCGAGAACAGCCACGCAAGGGGTGAGGAGAGAGAGAGAGAATTGCAGAGGAAGAAGAAGAAGAGAGGGAATCGCGGCCAAAGAGCACTGCGTGATGGCAGAATCAAAGCTGAGCTGCACACGATGTTGGTGTCCAAAAAATCAGTAAGTTTCATATCTTTCATGTCTATTTTTCGATAATTCCTTTTCTTATTTCATTAGATTATTTTATTTCCTTTACTAATCAGTTTGTAACTTTGAAAAATTACATCTGCGTCTCAACCAAGCTAGGGATTCATGGGGTGACCGAGAGAATACGACCAAGAGCCAAGCTGTGGCCAAATCACCCACGCCGAAAGGTAAAACCGTTTTGTTTTTGTGTCTTGGTGGTGGTTGAGCGGCGGTGGGGCGGGGCTGGTGTCAAGCTGGCTGTGCGGGCTCGGTCGAGCCACCCACCTGCTCAGGAACCGAGGAGGCTTCCTCGAGAATGGGAAAAGTCGACCCATTCGGGAAGCCGGAGGGTCTTCCCCGAGCATGGGAACCCGATCCACCATTTTGGGTTTTGATTCGCCGTTCACGAAGCTGAAAGTCTTTCTCGAAAAATAAAAATCTGATTTGTCATCCATGAAGTTGAAAATTCTTTCTTGAAAACGTGAATCTGATTCGCTGAATGGAAAGACGAAAGATTTTTCGGATACAAATTCTGATAATTTTGGGAATTCCGTTGGGTGACCGTTGAAACCCATAATTTGATTAAATTAATTTTTAGTATTTCAAAAATTTTTAATTAATTATGTCGTGTGTACAAAAAAATTTAGACATTCAAGCAGATTCATATAGATGCATAGGAGAGTAAATTAATTTCATTAAATTATGAATTTTGAAATTTGAACGAACATTGACCTAATTTTCGATGAAAAACAGAATCCAAATTATGATTAGTAAACCTAAGCAATTGGAACCCTATGAGGAGACGAAATTAGAAAACAGACCCAATGCACTAAGAGTTATTTGGACTAATGAAATTTGAAATTGAAAAGGAAAATTTTCAATTAAGAAAAAATTGAAAAAAAAAGAAAA